TTTTCTAAAGATGCAAATTAAAAAGGTAAAAATTTTGGTGAAATTTTGAAGAATTTTCATAATTTTCGCACAAAGTTTGAAGTTTGGATTCATATGGTGTTTGTTAAGTAATCAGCTATGTATTTACGAAAAAAACATTAAATCATCTTAAAAATTTCAAATTTCTCTGGGAATACGATATATCTGTGAACAATTATATCAGGCATGTGCAAAGCGGTCATTGAAAAACGTGAACGTTTCGAATATATGGACCTAAAAATTAAATTTAATAGTTTAATCGTTAAGCATAAAAAGCTACCTGCTTTTTCGATATATGTAAATGAATGGCGGTGTATTTTCTCGAAATAATGGTGCCTCAGCCCTTTAACAGCTTTACGGGTTCATTTCTTAAAATATTGCCCTCCAACTAAGCAAAAGTATAATACTTTCTAATAATATAGCCATTTTGAAGGACAAAGGTAATCTAGTGCAAATGTTACAATACAAGAAGGTAAGATTTTTCAATATAAAACGTCATAAGTTTGTAATTTGTCTTTTTTTTTGTACTTACATAAGTAATACAAACATGACTTCTGATGCAAAGCTTAGCTACGTATAACGACAGTTTCCTTTATTAAACTTGTGATTTATTTAAACAAAACATGTGAATTTTAGTTGAAACATTTTAGCCGCCGTTTTTGGCCAATTTAGCCGGTCGGCCCAAAAAGGTTTGGCAGCAGTGAACAAATACTCCCTCGTTAAAAGTACTGTAGATGAAAAAATATTTACATACCTGCAAGAAATTAATGTAAGGTGTTAGAACATCTCTACTCAAAAAGTAGGCGAACAATTCCTCTGTAAGAATAATTGCTGCGTTTTCTCCAAACTCCAGGTATTGGTGACTAAAAACGAAAAAGGATAGCGAGCGGCAATACGATATGTAATGTGGCTTTGTTGTATTTTGGAGAAGCATTTCCTGTAACATTTCCGCCAGATTAGACTTTTTATACATCAGAGAACTAATTTGAGCGCTAAGTTCTTGAACCCACATCTTGAGAAAGGTGTCCCTCTGTAAATACAATCAAAATTTTAAAATAAATTCGGTGCAGTCGTTGCAATTTCGCTATTGACATCATATTATAGTATTGTTCAGACAAAAATTATCACTGCATCCTTAGCAAAAATAGCCCCTGCATCCTATTAAATAAGCAAAATCAAGTAGTAATTCAGTATCTCGTATTTCCCTTGTCGGGTTTTTATTACTGTTTAAAATTGGTTTTGTGATCGGTTCAAGATTCAGTAGTTTTAATTTTCGCTGAGAAAAATAATAAGCCATATACTTACTCCTTGTTTCACGCTTAAACACACATGATTTTGCGGCAAACGACCTTTCTTTTATTTTAAGCAGATTTATTTTTGTAGATTTTTTTCGTTAGAATACGATTTCGGTCTGCACTTCATAGATGCTGATAGAAAAACTGAANTTTAAGCAGATTTATTTTTGTAGATTTTTTTCGTTAGAATACGATTTCGGCCTGCACTTCATAGATGCTGAAAAATATATAGTATATGTTCCGCCTAATGGCATTCGAACCCGGATCCTCCCGCAAGCTAACAAATAACAGAAGCAATTTGAAGCAAGTCCAAATGACGCGATTGGTAAATTTGTACAGATTTCTTTTCGCTAGTTACAGAGTGACATTTTTAGAAATGTTTTATTGGGCTTAACTCATTTTTACGGCTCGCAATCTCATGCAAATGCATGTTTTTAGTGGGCATGTTCAAATCGAAATGGTTAATTTATCTTTACGAATCATGAAATTTCCTTTAAAAAGGCATTCAATCGTTAGTGCATATTTTTTAGTAAATGCATGATTTTGCATATTTTGGTAAAAATATCCGTTTTTTTCATACTTATTGCGCTAATTTTAGTACATTTTAAAAAAAGATAAAAGATATGACCACATCTATTTGTAGAAAACTAAAATCCTGGGATGCAGCAACTTTGATTATCTTGAGAAAAGAAATTATATTTTCATGTACAAACTTTTAGAATATAAAACTCCGAATTATCTTTATGGGAAATGAAAATTAACAACGTATGGAAGGCATCAAAGTCTGATTATTCCTAAATATTCCTACTTGTCCTCATCAAGGCTGTTCTTCATTAATGCTACTTGTCCTCATCAAGGCTGTTCTTCATTAATGCTACGAGGCTCAGGAATTCCATTCCAGAATCTGTCAAGGCTTCTTTGAATAGGGGTAACTGCAGAAGGGTAATCCACAACTATTTTCATTCAACAAATTGAATGTCGCTGCGATTAAACTGTCTTATTTTCTCTTCCTATTTTGAGTTCATCTTTGTCTTTATGCGCCTAACTCTTTTAAATACTTGTCTCGTAGTCTTAAATTTAATTATGAGTAGTTAGATCAAGCTTTATTACCCTTATTTATTTTCTGTTAGTTTTAAGTATACATATTATTGAACTAGGATTAAGTTTCTTTTTTAATTTTGTAACTTCCATCCTATAAGATGTATTATAAAAGACTAAAGTCTTACATTTACACCCGTATATTTTTAAATAAATAAATAAATAAATTTATAAAAGAAAGACGAAAATTATGGAAACCAATTTAGAAAGGATGCTAAAATATTTAGATCTGAAAACATCGCGTTTCTTGCTGATGAAGTTCTTATCGAAATCAAAAAGCCAACTGCGTCGACCAGCAGACGCATTCTAACTTTCGCTATCGCTAAAATTTTAAACTATGCTAAAATGCGAAAGCTAACATTTTATCCGAATTTTTGGCTATCTCCAAAAATTGCGGTTCTGTACTCTCTTTCCCTAAAAATAGCTTAGCCTAAATTTTAGTATTTAATCTGGCCGCAAGTGGCGGTAAATAGTCCATTTTAATGGTGATAAAGTGAAAATGGAAGTAGCCACGGCTATGTTACAAAGACACTCGCGCCGATTCGCACAGACCATTGATGAGCAGCCTTCGCAAAAAGGCAAATCATTGAGAGAATCTACGGATTGCTATTTCGAAATTTTTCGCTCATGGTGAATAGAGCTTTGAACATTATTTTCACAAATTAGTTTCAAAAACATTCGTATTCTTTTCAGGAAGTTAACAGCGGTTTTTGGTGATTATGTCACAAAGCAGCATTAGCATTCTGAATATAAATAATATAAGTGCAGAATTTAGGAATACTGAAACCTTAAGTAAAAATTAAATGTTTTATGAAGACTAACTGTCTTAGGAATCTCTCCTCAAGTCATATGTGCAAGCATGTAGTAGTAAATAATTTTTTTGTTTGTTTGTTTGTTTTGATCTCGATAATGCTATAATTCATCGCTAGCAGAAACCATTTATGTACATATAACCATACTTATTTTATTATGTAGGTAATTTTTAGGGGTAGGGGATGAGTATGGTAAGAAAATAACTTGTGTCAAAACCAAGCTAGTTGGACAATATTTTTGAGTACTACTAAAACATAGGGCTGGTTTCTCCAACTCAACGTAACTTAGTTTAGCCATTTTTTGGACTTAAGTCAAAAGTTAGCCTACTTTTTACACAGTTATCCTTGACTAAGTCTAAAAAATTGGCTAAACTAAGATAAGTTGAGTTGGAGAAACCAGCCTATATACTCATACTTTGAACATAAAAAAGTCTTACGAAAGCCAAGTCATGTTTTTACATTTTATTTACTGACCTTATACTTTTTTTCATAGGTTGCCGTCCTTTTACGTTAAACTAATGCAATATTTTAGCTGCTATTAATTTCGCATAGAGAAAGTAATCATTTGACCTAATGTGCAGTGGACACGGAATGATACATTTATACAATGTGACTCACCTCTGGATTCATTTTAAGAATGCTTTCTCCAGCATTTGCCAAAACAATGCAATTCATTAACTCTTGGCGCAAATTAATATCCAATGCCCTTAGTTGATTGCAAGAAAACTTGTCCTTCATTACATCTAGCCTTTCGTAGAACTGTTGAACTATATATACATTTAGAAGTGACCGCTGTAAGATAAGGTATAGGTCACGACAATCCATATTGTTATAGCATATCTTCTCTTGTGTAGACACATATCCATGTAGAATTTCTAAAGACAGGCAGTAATCTCTAAATTGGCTTTGTAGCTCAGAGTTGTCATTAGAGCTAAAAAACAAATTGATTAGCTTATTTTGTTTTTTAATGCATTCTTCATTAGCCGAACTGTCTTTAACAACGCCCATAATAAGTCGAGTTATTAAATCTGCAACTTTTAATGTATTTTTTAACATGAGTTTCGCTACAAACCCTTTATTTGTAACAGATTCTATACAGTTAGTGACTGTCTCTTCATTCACGATGATTTCATTAGATAATGCATTTTCCCAACAAGAAGTTAATTTATAAAGGATGCTTTCCGTTGAAAATTTTTCCGCTGAGTGTTCAATTAAAAAATTGAATAGTTTTAAAAACATTTTGGATTTTGTTTCAATTGATGCGTTTCCTCTGGTAAATACTATAGGCATTACTTGACTAAGCAAATTTCCACATAACTCGCTAAGGTCATCATTTTCTTCTTTTTCAAGAGGCTCAAATATTATATTTAGCACGTCATCTACTGTACCTGCACCGATCAAGAACTCATCATAATCATTTTGAAGAAAAAGCATTTGCGTCCAATCTTTTGTACTTTCCGAGTATTCTGCTAAGTAATTTATGGTGCAATTTATTATTAAGGATCTAACCTCAGGCTCACATAATATTATTTCTCTGCGTTTTCCAATTTTTAAACGGTTAAAGAATAGACTCTCTAGAATTAAAATTTGAAGTTCTCTGGAACGGATCTATAATTCGAAAAAACAATAGTAAGTGTTAAGCAAATCTTATATATCAAACTTACGGAAAAGATGTGAGTCTTTATGAAGATAAACTGTTCATCGGCATCAAGGAAAGGTAACAACTTGAAGATAATTTCGGCAACATCCGTGTCAAACTCTTTATCCACAACAGATATTAAATTAACAAAAATATTTATCGATTTACTAACATCGCAGTCGCTTGTAATACTTTTATAAAATTCGATATCAGGAAACATGTCAATTATTAACTTAACATGTTTTAAACATTTCTTGTGCTGTTTTCTAATTTTTCTTAAACAGTGTTGAAGCATCTCCAAAGCGATCTTTCTCAGCCGATCTTCGTTTGCACTTCCCGTAACACAGTTATGTTGTTGTGAAGTTAAGCAGGTGGGAAGCTTTTCGCTTACATGCTCTTCATTTCTTTGCACGAGACTTTGAACCAATTCAATAATTCCATCTGGGTAATGATCATTTATATGAATTAACTCGTTTATTAAATGGAATATCAAACTCCAAAACTCGTTCAATAGATTTAAATAAAACAAGCTATTGTCTCCACTCTCACATTGTGTTTTCCAATTCGTTATCATATTAACAGTCATCGAAGCAAATCGTTTAATTGCTATATTTTTATTAGATATTAGTAAACATTCAACGGAATCTATAACATTTGTAAGCAACATTTTATATATATATTTTTGCTTGTGTTCTGGATCTCTGCCTGCATTGTTTAGTTTATTTAGAATAAACTCCCAACAGCTGAAATAAGCAGCGAAAATAGCGTTATAATGTGTTTCATTGTCACGGAATGCTTCCGAACAAAAAACGTTTTTTAAATCCATTAGATACTGTTCAAAATATATATGCCAGTCATATTCTTGAAAATAAGCGCAAACCACCGCGTTGTTAAACGACAGTAAATTCGGACATATTGTTTCGTAGTTGTTAAAAAAATTGTTTTGAAGCAGGCATGAAACCTTGGGTTGAATATCAGATTTAAAGTCCAAGTATTTGTACCTGAAAATAAATAGTAAGTTATTGGTTGTTTGAGTTCAGTATGCGGAAAGGTTTGATCTAATTAAAATAGAATTGGTCATTTTTTAAGTTACCACTTTTTACTTAGCTACGAGTAAGGTTGATGTCAGAGAGGAAGCGAGAAGCGATTTGAAGCTTGAAGTGATGATAGTTCAAGCGAGAAGCAATGCTATAAGGTAGCAGACTGAAAGCGGCAAAGCGAAGCGAGCTGCTGCATTCGTTTTTGTCAGTTTAATGTGAACAATGGATTCCGACAAGAAGTTTATTTTTTTATTTCGATGGGTGTATTTAGCACTTAAAAAAAAAAGAAAAAATTTAATACATCTAATTAACCATCAACGAAAAAGTGAATTCAACTTATATTTGGAACTGCGCCAATAGCCGGGCATATTTTATAAGTACACAACAATGTCAGGAGCGACATTTGACTATATTCTCAATAAAATCGAGTCAATTCAAAAGATTTGGACTAATTACATAAAAAGTCCCATTACACCGTGCGAGAAATTCATAAAACTTTGAAGTAAAAAATTAATTTATTTATTTAAAAAATCAAAAAAATTCGAAATATTCAGCTTGCGGAAAAAGAATTTGTGATAACTTAAAATAACATTTCTTAAGAATGTTTGTATACTTAATGAAACAAACATAATCAAACAAATCACTTAACTTAAATTAAATAGATCTACTATTTCACATTAATGAAATAAAACTCTTGCTTGCCTTTTTATATTAATCCGCTGTTAATAAAATTTTAACGAACGTGCGCGAAATTACAACTTTCATTGAAAATTGTCACCGAAAACATCAAACACAAAGACCAGCAAGTGGTAAACCATTGCACAACCTGCTTTGCCGCTTTGCCCTCTCGAAGTCGCTGAAAGTCGCTTTGGTGCTCGTACTCACTCTGACACCTTCTAAAGCTTTGCATATGTATCTTAAAGCACCGCTTCTCGCTTCCTTTCTGACATCAACCTAAGACTTGTTGAATAATGATTACTACTTAATTAAATGGTGTTTTTTTAAGAACACCCTTAAATTTTTAAATAATTGTAATTATCACATAATTCGAAAAACGTATATTTTTTAATATTTATGACTATTTTAGATTTTTTAAGTTAGAAGCAGTATTTAATGATATGATTTCGTAAATTGATGACTTCCAGAAACTTATTTATATCATTGGCTTTAACCCGATTTGAAATTACCTATGAATAATTAATTTTCATTCAAAATTACTAAAACTTTGCTAAAGTTTCAAATAAATGATACAATGGCATAGCACATTGTGCATGCGCTCCGTCCAGCATACTTCTGGAGTCATATTATCCATTGTGGAAACTGATCGAGTTTTAAAGAGGCTGCCTCGATTCGCTCGTCATTTCATAGCCCTTGGACCACAGTGCCAACTTCTATAGAATTTAGTTTAAGAGGAGATATCGCTCGCGCGATCTTCTCTGATAAGCAAGTTTTTTTCTGATGGAGCTAAAGTGACTTCTTCTTAAGTTGGTGCGAACCGAGTTTTTTACTAACTAGCTTACTCCTGTTCAAATATCTTTGATCATGGATACATATTTGGGTAATAAAACATATATAGTGTGGCGTGCGCCTTGATGTTGCCACAAAATAAAATTATAGTTTAAAAAACTAAAATCTCGCTATTATAATTTCCATCCGTAGTGTCATCAGGTATGTAACTTGACAATAGAAATCGCTGCATCTTTGAGGCGCATCAATATTACATAGTTACATCCCGAGCTAATAAAAGGGAGGTAAAAAGAAATATTTCGGAAAAATATTAAGATTTACGTGCTGGACCGATTTGAAAATACATCCAAAATTCGAGCTTTTTATGAATAAAAATAGCTTCTCGAAGAACTTTTTGGAAAAAATCCCTTCAGATGACAAAACAGATTAAGCTTAAAAAATCTGCATAAAAATATTTACAAATCATCTGAACGGAATCGTATTAGCGAAGGAATAAAAAGGTTGAGAAAATACCTTTCCAATGATACCTCACATGTCTAAATCAGAATAGTTTAGGTTTAGTTATTCAGTTTTTCTTATACCAATCTTTGAAAAAAGTTAAAAAACAGCATCAAAAATCTCATTATTACGATTCCCTTGAAATTTTTTTTTACATTTTTTAATATTTTTATGCAAATTTTTTAAGCTTAAACCGTTTTGTCATATGAGGGGATTTTTTCAGAAAAATCTTTAAGAAACTATTTTGATTCATAAAAAAAACTCCATTTTTAGAGGTATTTTCAAATCGGTCCAGCTCACGTAAATCTTAATACTTATCCGAAATATTTTGGTAAAAGTCTTAAAATATAATAGATTTTGTAATTCCAATGGGCACATAGTACCGTTTTTATTTTGTATTGGCAGTGATGCAGTCTAATGTACATATGTTTATCGGGCATAGATGAATTATTTTTAAATAGTTGTTTCTAAGTAACAATGCCTCCAAAGCATCTGTGCCAAGGCTATTTATGAGTGCAGTTTGTTTAAATATGTTTTGGAAAAATCCTCTATATATATGTATAGGCAAATACTTATTTTTATTGGACTGTTCAAAACTTTGCCAGACCTTGGCGCTAAAATCGAAGTAAAAAACGATACCCCCTATTGGGGGTGTTTANTTGAGAAAATACCTTTCCAATGATACCTCACATGTCTAAATCAGAATAGTTTAGGTTTAGTTATTCAGTTTTTCTTATACCAATCTTTGAAAAAAGTTAAAAAACAGCATCAAAAATCTCATTATTACGATTCCCTTGAAATTTATTCTTACATTTTTTAATATTTTTATGCAAATTTTTTAAGCTTAAACCGTTTTGTCATATGAGGGGATTTTTTCAGAAAAATCTTTAAGAAACTAATTTGATTCATAAAAAAAACTCCATTTTTAGAGGTATTTTCAAATCGGTCCAGCTCACGTAAATCTTAATACTTATCCGAAATATTTTGGTAAAAGTCTTAAAATATAATAGATTTTGTAATTCCAATGGGCACATAGTACCGTTTTTTTGTATTGGCAGTGATGCAGTCTAATGTACATATGTTTATTGGGCATAGATGGATTATTTTTAAATAGTTGTTTCTAAGTAACACTGCCTCCAAAGCATCTGTGCCAAGGCTATTTATGAGTGCAGTTTGTTTAAATATGTTTTGGAAAAATCCTCTATATATATGTATAGGCAAATACTTATTTTTATTGGACTGTTCAAAACTTTGCCAGACCTTGGCGCTAAAATCGAAGTAAAAAACGATACCCCCTATTGGGGGTGTCTACTAGTAGACTATTTTCGATTATCGATTTTCGATGATATTGTGAATGTCGATTTCTCGTTCAATAAGCGACTAAAAGCTAGTCCCAATCACCTATTAAACGAGAAAACGACATTCATAATACCGCGGATATTCGATAATCGGCAAATAGTCGTTTATCTATTACTAGTCAACAATCGCAGTAGGGGTCAAATATAAACATCAAGTGAAAGGATTTGTTGTTGTTGTTGTAGCGGCTACAACAACCCCGCCCTGATCGGTTAGTCCCTCAATCGTTGTGTCAAGCTCATCTAACGGTAGCCCCAGGAAGCGTGCAGCCTCGATGGGGTCTGTCCATAGGGACAGGGGCGTTAGCGAGGTAGGATTTAGAGGGCATACGAAGAGATGCTGTGGGTCATGGGGCGACTCTCCGCAATCCGAGAACTCGTTGAGAACACCTTCGTTTAATCTGCTCAGGTATGAGTTCAACCTGCTGCAGTAATCAGAGCGCAGTTGGGCTATTGTTGTCCGAGTCTTCCGAGGCAGACGAAGTTCTGTCTCGTTCACGTCTGGTGGCATTCACAGATTGTGAGTCTACATAACTCGAGACTGCCTCTCCTTGAATGCCGTTCAAGGTCTGTCGATAAGCTATCGGGTCCAGATGTTGTTTGATGAACCTCTGGACTTCGTCCACCAGTTCGTAGAGATGCCTCCTTACGTGCCTGGGCGAAGGCTCTTCTGCAAGGAGTTGTCTGTTTGGGTGACCACACCTGTGGCTCCCAACCAGAAACTGCTTGCAGAGCATTGTGTTATGCTCTTTAACAGGGAGCATGTGGGCCTCCTCGTGCAGGTAGTGTTGCGGCGACATCAAAAGGCATCCCGTCGCTGTCCTGAGTGCCGTGTTCTGGGAAGTCTGCAGCTTCATCCACTGCATCCTACTAGTCCCCGGTCACCACACGGGCGCTGCGTAGTTCAGAACCAGCCGGCCAATTACCTTGTCGGTTGCCAGCAACGTTTCTTTGTCTTTGCCCCAGGTGCTGCCGGCTATAGACTTGAGGACCTTGTTGCGGCTTTGTACTTTGACAATTGCGGTTGTATGCGCCGAGAAGGAGAGCAGACTATCGAATGTTACTAAGAGAATCTTCGGGTTGTTCACCGTCGGAATTGATGTATCATCGACGTGACTTCCCATTTGTAGTCTGACCTCCTTCGTCCAGGTGGTAAAAAGTGCGGCTGAGGATTTTGTAAAGGAGAGGGTTAGGCTCCGTGCAGGGTAGAGGCGAGAAATCTCGGCGAGATAACCGTTTACTTTCGAGCACAAGTCATCAATTCCATTCCCAGACGCCATGCTCAAGCAATCGTCAGCATAAGAGACTATCGAGACTTCATCTGGTGGTTGAGCGAGCTTTGAAATATAGNGACGTGACTTCCCATTTGTAGTCTGACCTCCTTCGTCCAGGTGGTAAAAAATGCGGCTGAGGATTTTGTAAAGGAGAGGGTTAGGCTCCGTGCAGGGAAGAGGCGAGAAATCTCGGCGAGATAACCGTTTATTTTCGAGCACACGTCATCAATTCCATTCCCAGACGCCATGCTCGAGCAATCGTCAGCATAAGACACTATCGAGACTTCATCTGGTGGTTGAGCGAGCTTTGAAATGTAAAAGTTAAACAGTAATAAGGAAAGGACACCACCTTGTGGAACCGCCTGTT